TTGTGATTTGAACTACAAAAAGACTGTGAGCTGGCTGTGTTAATGCATCACTGAGCCTCTCTGTGTGCATATACCATTCCCTGTGGCTGTGGCTTGCTTTTCTGTCCATGAGAGTAGGGAGGATAAATGTGTATCCCAGTGATGCTTGTGTTTGCTCAGCAGAGCCTTCTAGTCATGAACCTCAGGTCCGGTTGGATTGGACTGTTATGGGTCCATAAGTGGGAAGGCCTTTCTGCCCAACACTGCTTCACAGGATGGTTGAATAGATTCTAAGTTCCTTACCTGTGAGACTGTGGTTAATGCTGGGCAATGTTTTTTGTTTGTGGGGTTTTTTTTGTTTGGTTTGGTTTGGTTTGGGTTTTTTTTTTTTTTTTTTTTTTTGATTGCAGTATTTGGAGACATGAGTGGCTTCCTGTGGATTCAGTAAGCTTGGCAAGTGTATTTGGTGTGGTGCCCGCTTCTGGCATGTCCTTGCTCTTTGCCTCTTGCTCAGGTCTTCCAGGCTGATGGGTGCCTCCAGCAAGGTATCCCTGCCTGTCAGCAGGTAATGCTGTTTCTCTATCCACTTGTCTGCGAACTCACTTGTATATACATTTAAAAACCTCACTATGTTTAAAAGAGTCGTCAAAGGGTTAAAAGGAGATGTTTCCACATCATCCTTAGGCTTGCTAACTAGCAGCAAGAGGAGCTGAGGAGAGGGAATCAAGACATGCTTTGCTTCAGTTTGGAGAACTGGAACTGGAAGTGAGGATGGGACCCAGGCACCGAAAGAGAATTTGAATCTTTAAAACAACACTGGTTTTAGTGAAGGTCATTATTGCATTTATTATTTTTCCTGGTATTCTTATAGAACACTATTACTTACACTGTTTTTTTCACTTCATCTACTTTCTCATCAGCTTTGCACAGGAGAGGCCTCTGACTTCGATTATATACTGGTACAAAGGTGATGTTTGTTTGAAGGGTTTTTGCCTTGTGTTTTGCCGGCTATATATTATACTCGTATAAGTATAGAAACACAATTTTCTTAGAAGAACATCATTCTTTATGGGAAATTAATTCTTCTTGTAATCCATGCAGATGCAATCAATATCTTACCACAGGTAAATTTGTCACATTAAAAAGATATTTTCTCAGCTACTTCTGGCTACGTTGCATTTTTTCCATTCTTCTCCTGCTGCATTTAAAGGTGAAGTGAGGAATAAAAATTTAAATAGTTAGGTATAGATTTATGTGCTGAATGTATCTGAAATTTATGTTGGAGCATTTTGGAAGGGAGAGGGCCAGATATTCTTTAATAATAAATATTGATTACCTTTTAAAATATTTATTTTTTTCCTTCATCTGGTTAATCAAGTTGGTACTCCTTGATAAATATTCAGAAATGTGTCCTTCCATGAAATCACAAATACTAGCAAATCAGATAGGTTCCTGATGCTTACAGAGGCTTTCTGCATTAATTCCAGCAAGTAAGTAAATACTTGAAGGACTTCATAAAGAATAGCAAATGTTTCTCTTTATGTTCCTTACAAGTGAGCGCTGTGTAAAATTCTCCTCACTTACTGGTCTTGGGCATATTCAACACATAGAATGGGTCCAGGCTTCTGATTTGCATTTTGGATTTGAAAAACAGCATCTACTTTTGCCTTCATGTTTTTGAGTTACTGTGTAATCCAGAATTGAGACCAGGAGCAAGTCTGAATGTAGAAATGCAGAATAATGCTCTGGAGTGTCTTGTAATTAATTTTCAAGAAGAAGTGCATCTGGTATCAAAAGTTCTGGTAGCAGAGTTTCTGTTAATGAGTACAGAAAGACTTTGAAAATTTTCAATGTGTTTTCAAGTACTCATGTGTGCCTATCTGTGTCTCTGTGTTTGACTTTCTGATTCCCTTGTCTGTCTAGCCTTTATATTTCATTCAATATGCAGCTGGGACTGGGTATCACAATACCTTAAGGCAAAGTGCATTTCCAGTCTTTCTGCCTTCTCAGAAGAGTTAGTTGATAGCTGGTTGTCATCTGCCGTGTTTGGGAAATACTCTTATGTGCTTTTAATCAATAACTGTTAGTCAAGAGCACACTTCTACACCTTTCCCAATTTAAAATGAATAGTGATGTTTCACAGAAGCACAAATCCAAGAAGACCCAGGAGACACTGAAGAACATTCAGCTTTTTGTTAGACAGTGCTCCACCCAAGGCTATGCAGCAGCAGAGTAACTAAGGATCAGATCTTTGGTGAGGTATGAGGGGGACTGTCCTGCAGAGTTAAGTGGAGGGGGGAATATGTGTTAAGTTCTCTGGTGCCCATCAGAATCAGTGAGAGATATGCCAGCATGCTCTGAGAAGAATGGGTAGATAATTTTGAAAGGCAAGTATCTCAGAGGAGGCAGAGTCTGGTAAGTAGGAGCAGCTTGTTCAGTACCATGCTCAGCAGCAGGCTCTGCAGCACACAGCATGGCTCATGCTGCCCAGCCAAGATTGGATCCTGAGGGTGTGACCCTTCCTCACCTTCTCACCAACATTTTGAGTGAAGCTAACTTTTTCTTTGCCAGCATCCCAATTATATCAGTCTCTTTGAGAAACTATTTCCTGGTTGTTTTGTGAATTCCTCTAAGAAAATAACAAGTAGAAGTGGGTCACTCCCACAAAGCTTGCACAAAGTTCACTATCACAGGAATCACGGGCTTTTTCTTTTTTTTAAAGCGCATCTAATTCATTGTCATTGGGTGAAATCAGTAAAAGCTCAAGCACATATATGCAAGCATGCAATGTGACTGTACTTGTGTGTCCTTCATTTACCAGTAACAATATAGATCAATACACAGAATGTTTTTATGCATCAGTGATGTCAATGTTTATTAAGGTTAAACGTTTTTCTGACTTTACAGCTTTGGTGACATTTCCAAAACTAGCCTAGCAGCTGTTGGGACAGAAGGCCTTGCAAGAAGGAATTTGCAGTGCCATTTGCAGCAATGTTCTCCTGACAGGGTGGGGAAGTAGGATCTAGGGAGAAGACTGTGGATGTAACTGTATAACAAAAAAAAACCCTTAGAAATTAAGGGAGAGAGCGGTTGGAGGATAATTTGTATTACTATAAAAATAAATTCTTCCTCTAGAGAGAAGGTAGAAATTGCATGATAGGGACATGCTTCATGGCTGTCATGGCAAACTTGTTTAAAGCCCTCTAGTTTTCATCTTATGCATAGATCATCTAAGTTTCTACTCTGCCCTTTTCCTGGACACATTTATCCATATCTAGACTCCTACCTCTGATGCTATTGCAGTTTGCCTCCCACTGTGTCTGAAGGAGGGTGGCCCAGTTTACAATGGCTCTGATATGATCCATATTACTCCCTGGAATGCTTTTATAACAGGGTAAGATGATACAGTCTGACTGAAAATCATTGTTCAGCAGAAGTTGTAGAAGGAAGTTGCAGTGTTTTACCTCACAGATCTTTCAGCCATGATTACAGGAAGTACACTACGAATGTGCAGACACTGAATATGTGTAAAATTAGGGGCCAGCAAAGACAAAAACTGCCTTGAAATGCTTGAACACCTAATTAATCTTCAGTTGGCTGTCCAACACTGTGCTGAATTTTATTTAGTTCTGTATTTGTGTTTGTTGCTCTAACGAAATAAACCTAATCACAACTATTTAAGGAAAAGAAACAAAATAACCCAAAAAAAAAACAAAAAAAAACAAAAAAAAACAAAAAAAACAAAAAAAAAAAAAAAAAAAAAAAAAAAAAAAAAAAAACCCAAAAAAAAAAAAAAAAAAAAAAAAAAAAAAAAAAAAAAAAAAAAAAAAAAAAAAAAAAACAAAACAAAAAAAAAACACCACCCACAAAAACTTTCTTCTTTTTAAGGAGAAAAGGATACAGATTTTTCCATGAACAGTCAGCTTTGTCATCTTTAACAAATTGGGGGAGAAGCCAGTACTAGTTCAGTTTACTGTATATATCACTTTGGAGATCACATTTTACTGTATAAACTCCCGTACTAATTACCATTGTCTTTATAACAAGTGACAATATCCCATTCTGTTACATGCATGGCAACAAAATAACAAGTAATGCAAGATAAGTATACAAGAAAGAAAAACTAGTTAAAGGTTTGGAAAGGGAGCAGAAAGTCCCATGATGATGTGTAGGATTCTAGGTGGAAACATAATTTGTTAAACAGAGAGTAATATACAGTTACAAAATTGTCATGAAGCCATATGCATTAGCTCTTAATGACCTTTTAAATTATAAAAAAATTATTCAAGCAAGCTAACAGATTTTTCAGAGACTTCTGGTAAGCTGGTAAATCTCAATTGATTTTCCAAGGTAAATGCTGTGTGGTCTGGTGTATGTGGATGGCTGTTGGTAAGATAATGGCTTTCCAGAAAATCTGCTGACAAATATGAAGTTTTATAGAATGGGGCAGCCAGTTACCAGAGAGTTTGTATCAGAGTGTTTGTAAATCAGATCAAATAAAATCCTATGTGGATCCCAAACCTCAGTTCCTAACGAAGTCTGTGAATGGTTCAAAACCCTATCCTAGACACGAATGCCACAGCTCTGGTCGAGTCATCAAGGTTTGGGTTCCTGTGCCCTGTGTTCCAGTGGGTAGGCAGAAATAACTAGGCAGAGAAGGTATATCTAGGACTCCTGTTGGCTGCAGGTTCAATGAGAATTATTTGAATCCTTTTTCCTTACATTAAATTAAAAGTTCTCTGGCATTTGCAATTGATTTATTTCCTAGGGCAGGGGGATGTAGCACCATTTAGATGACATGGCTAGGGATTTATTACATTATTAAAGCTGTCAAAAGTGACAAAATGCTGTGTTTTACTTTCAGTTATGTTCATTGTCCTTGAAAGTGACAGAAAGGGGCAGAAGCATGGTGCCATATAAAACTATATGAATTTGCAGAGTTGCAGAAATACTAACAGTGAAGAGGCCTGTGCACACTTTATCACAAATGCCATTTTTTTTTTCCCCTTCTTGTTTTACAGAAAGAGATGACAACCAGGATGTGTCACTAAAAACTACCCACTGAATAAAAGCAAAGTCCAATTTCCTTCCTACCGCAGAGTTCAAGAATATGACAGCCCTCATGGACTGAGCCTGCTTCTTAATCCCTGAATGCAGGAAAGTTGGAAGCCACAGTTACTGTCACAAATGCTTCTCTCCGGTGTCAATGATGTTAACCCTAAATAGGCTGCTAGGAACCTCATCTGAGCAACATGGATTATTGAGAAAAAGAAGAATCATATCAGTTCTAGCTCCTTTATCAGGGATAACAACCTCTTCAGCCACAAAAAATGGCAGACAGGGCCCCTGCTGCTAAAGATTTACTGAAATTCAGGTCCTTGGGCTGACCTCCAGACTTGCTGTTTTGAAATTAAATCTGCAATTTTGCTTTCTTTTTCTTTTGTTTCTTGGTATGTGCTTTCTTTCCTAACTGCAACAGACTATGAAGAGGGTCTGGAATCAAAGAAGACTTAGCCTTTAATGCCGCCTACCCCACTCCAGGCCACCCAAAGCTTGGCCACCATTCCCAAATACTAGCAAGCCTTGTGTTTCTGGGAAGACAGCCATATCCTTCAGCTGAACAGGCAGTTTATGCTTCATTGTGACTTGTAATTTAATGACAATGGAAGGGTTTCTGATCTCAACTACATGAACAGGGACCCAGATATAGCTCTGCAGTGCTGAGGTATTTTCCTTGAATTCATGCTGTGACTGACAGCAAATGTTCTCAGTATCTCTATATTACATTAAAAAAAAAAAGCTACAGTCATCATTTCCCTGAAGTACCCTATAAAGTACACCAATCTGTCATGTAATTTCGTATCCTTTTATCCCCTTAGGAAAAGGATCCCACTCAATCATCCTAAAATTTCATCTTTACAGAGAAAAATAAATTTAATTTGGGTAACTTTCAGGAAGATACAGTAAAGATGTATAGTAAAAAATGTTAGAGCAGGAGGAATTAATTTAAGGTCCCTGTTGCAGTTAAACAGTGCCCAGTAATGTGACTTGCTTTCTACACTGGGCTAACACAATACTTTTTTCCAGAACTTAATTCTGGAAAATTAACATGTGTATGGACAGTCTAGAAGGATCCATTGCTGCAAATCAAGTCTTCTACACCAAATATGCCCTGAGGGGGCTTTCTTCTGAAAAAAAAAAAAAAAAATTAAAAAATGAAAGTGATACAGAATATCACAAGATAAATACTACTGAATAAATGGGAATCAAGTGGAACACACCTATGTATTCTGTGCCTTGTAATGAATGTTGCACACTTGTGTTATTGTGAAAAGTTACTTTTTCCTGAGTAAGTGCTGAACCCTGTTGCTACCTTCTCCCTGAATAAGTTTAGGTAGGTTTACCTCTTCTGAGACAGAAACAGAAGAAAATCTCATGGAGTATCCAGTGATTGGAACATTTGAAATAGAGTGGTAGCAGACACTAAAGAATAACAAATATTTTCTAGCTCAGTGTTGTAGCACATGACGATTTATAAGCCTGCTTGCTTAAATCAGGGCTTGTAAAACTCTTGCTGGGAAAAAGTGCTTTTGTCTGTGAACATTTGGTGTACCTATGATGGGGGCTTTTCTGCATCTCTAGAACTAGGCAAGCAGCATTATCCTTAGCTTTCAAGGGGATGGACCTAAGTGTTCTTACCTCCTTTGGTAGTCTTTGCAATCAGGTTACTTCTCTGGGGATTGGGATGCACACACAGATGATTTCTGTTGTGCGCAGGATATAACTAGCTTCTGGAATTCATGGCCATGGCTACTCTTGAGCTTGCCTCATGTTAAAGAAGATTAAATATATGACTTCTTTGGGGTGGTTCATGTAGCTGGCAACTGCCTGGAATTATGACTTCAATTGCTTGTGATGGGTGTCTTGAACTCCTCCAAAGTGCCTGGGCTATGGCACTGTTTGAGATGGAGCTGTAGCTGATGCAGTGCATTTGAATTTCACTGCCACCATGGACAGTTGCCTTCTGGTGTTCTCAGTCTGGGCAGCACTGTATTTAAAAGATTAACATAAAGATGCAAAGGTGTGCAAAGCACATAAAGATCAAAGTCACTACACAAATTGAAAAACATGGGGTTTTATGCATAATTTAGTCTTCATTTTATTACACTACTTACCATGTGCTGTGGAGACTATTCACTGCAGCTCAGTCTGAAGATTAGGCTGAGAAAAAATCACCTGAGAAAAATTTCAGTTACCTTTCTGTGAATGCATACATTTTGTGAATGCAAAACTTATCAGTTGGAAGTATTTTCCTCTTTTTTTAACTGCTTTTTTTTTTTTTTTTTCCCACAAACCCCTATGTTTCATTTTCTGGTAGGGCACACTGTATGAAGCAAAAGAGAGAAATGCAGAATTGAACCCTAGAGGATTATTTGTGTCCGACCTGGCCAAAATCCCTGTAATGGTAAAAGTCCATTAATACACAGGAGATGAGCCAGGAAAGGAAAAGTGGACTTGTTTTGGTTGCTTATTCTGCTAGGAAGAACATGGAGTTTCCTTCCTCCACCTGACAAGGTGTGGCCTTCTGCTGAGTATCTCCCAACAAGTACTCTTGCTTCTGCAGCACAGCTAGTCAGCTATCACTTGGCCATCATATGCCACAGGCCATCTCTGCTGTTCCACTCTGTGGTAGCTGATCAAGTGTTCCAGCTTCATCAGTAATTTGCTCAGGGTTACAAACAGACAGAATCATGTTTTGATTGTTAATGCTTTTTCTACCTGATCTTATTATTACTTATGTTTCTACTAATGCCAGCATTCCATATTGTTCTGGGATTGGGAAAGGTGAGGGGAGGAGAGGGGAAAAAAGAGGGTTTTGTTTGGATTTTTTATTTTGTTGTGGTTTTTTAATCACTTTTCTAGTTCTTCAATCAGGTTTTGTTTTTCTTACATTTTTCTTTCCTTGATACTTACCTTTAAAGATGCTGTTGTGTTAAGCTTCAAGGCACTTCATAGTGCCTTTATAGAGGAATCATTTCAACTGACTGAAACTCAGCAGTACTCTGAAGTAATGAAAGGTTGTGAAAGGTTCCTATGACACCAAACTTGATTTCAGTTGTTAAAGACTTGACAGCTTCTATTGATTGTCTCTGTAATAGATTTTGTAATGAACTTCTGGTTTATGTTAACATAGATTAGTGACAACTGTAATATGAAACAAATCTGAACATAACCTCCCTTAGGTTTTATGAACAATGGAGTCCCAGGGTCTTTTGAAGGGTGGGTTTTTTTACTAATCCACAACAGTGAAATTGATGATTTCTATCAGATTTGAGAGAAGCTGGAGACTTATGAAACTTGCCAGTTTCCTCCAAGAACTCAGGCTCTAAAGCAGCAAAACTTACATCGGGCAAGTTATCTGACTCTCCTGATGAATGAATTCATTTAGAAGAAGGCAGGAAAAGAGAGGAAAACAGATAAGGAGTAACTCTACAGGGACGTACAGACAACAGCTCAAGACATGCAGAAACATAATGGGTGAACATTATCCTCAGTGACCACAAATTCCTTGTCTGTGAAGAGAATACAGAGAATGATACTCTTTGTAACTGGGAAGCCACTCTTGTCAATTCTCTACTAACGACAGACTAAAAGGACTTTAAGCATCTTTGAGTTAAATTACACATTTTGGAGATGTCTCACAAAAAGCTACTCCTTCCTGATGCTTTTTACCTTCTCTGCATGTTCTTGAGGTTTCTCATTTTCTGGATGGTAAGTCTCAGAGCCAGCCTTCAGCCTTTTAGTGTTCCTTTTGCTTCCACAAGGACATTGCTGTTACAAAAAGTAGCTTTCTCACCTGTCTCTGTGCCTCTAGAAGGGCTACTTCTCAGCTATGCCCTCTGAAGAGAGACCATCAAGGGCTGGCTGTTTACCATCTCTTCAGAAGAACAAAAGCGAGAGCAAGAGGTTCCTGCAAGAGCAGCAAAACAGCAGTCACTGCATGTAAAATAGAAATATGATTGCTATAGTAAAGCATGATCTATGGGCTTCAGAAAGGGGATAACACTGGGGCATCCAGTATAGTGGTCAGTATTTAGACATTTTCTCTTATATATTAGAAGAAATTTTTAATAAAAGACATTTTTAACAATTATGGAGATTATTCCAAAGGCAAAACAAGCCAAATCAGCACTAAGAACCTGGTGATGGTGTACATTTAAATAAAAAGTTATCAAATGTTGATTTTTGAATGTGTTCTGTGCTAAATAGGCAGTGATTTCCAAGGTTTAGCCAAATATGTTAGAACTCTTAAAGTAGTTTCTGTTCTGTGTTTTAATAAATTTTCCTGTTTTAAAGACAGATATAATTAATATAATTAAAAGTTATAATAATTTTCTTCCAGGGAAAAAAGTAAGTTACTTGTCCAGTCTAATACATGTGTGTCTGTGTATGTGCATGTGCGTGTATATATACAGATATATATCTCTATGTGTATGTTTGGGGATATGGATGTGGAAGCATCAGTATATGCACATGTACACTCCCTGCTCTTTCCCATAAAATACATTTTTTAAAAATTTTGGTAATTTTTTAGGGGAATGCATCTCTCTAAGAAGTAAGTGGTTGATTCCTTTTCTTCCTCCATACATCAGCTCTGTTTGGTGTGTTAATTTTTTTTAATGCTGTCACATTTGTCTCAAACTTTTTTAGTTGTTTGTTATTAAATAATTGTTCAACTGTATGGGAAGAGAGACCAACGTTAACTGTTGTAATCATTAAAAGAAAAGGAAAGTTTACTTTTCAAACCAATCATAATGGATGAAGCAATTGAATACAAATATAAATAAAATAAACATAACAATGCAAAAGCATTGTGAAGTTATTTACCATCTAACTCTTCAGCAAGAAAAATGAATGTGGTTTTCATACCACAGAGCAGAATTCTCTGGCAGGCTCCCTGGACTCAGAGGTGAGTGAGATTCATCACTGCCAATGCACCAGCTTCACAGTCCTCCCATCACCAATGTGATACCAAGAAAAATTGACCAAATATCATGCTGATGCAACTGGCCAGCCTCTCACCAGCACTGTGGGATCTGACAAAGCATGCGAGTAGCCATTCCTTAGCTAAGCTGGCTTGCTCATTTTTTCCTGTCAAATATTTGAGCTTGGACAACTCAGGGACTTCATTATGTCCTTTAACCGGAGTCCTGTGAGACACTCCAAGGAGCCTCCAGGAGTGACAGGTAAGGAGCACCAAATAGCCAGTTAAAGGCAAAGTTTTGTCGCCTAAAAAAAAACTTAAGAGCCTCAGTTAGAATTTGGCTGCCACAGACAGAAAAGAGGCCTAGTAGGCAATAGAAACTATCTGCAGCATATGGACTTGGGCAGTTACTGCATTGTTCTCTTTGTCCTCATTCCTAAAGCACAGATAAGCACATGTTTGTGCATAATTAGGTGTTGAAATTGCTGTACTTAATACGAGTCAGGTACGGAGCTCGAGGGGAGCAGGAGCATTAGGATTAAGAATGGCACAGTAGAGACAACAACCAGCAGGAGAGCTGATGCTGGACTTTCAGTGTCTCTCTCTGGCACAGGGAGGATCTGAAGATTAGAGATGCTGAGACTAAAGGAGCAACTGGAAAACAGCTGCTGAGGGAAGCTGAGGAACTTGGAAGCTGAAAGAAGCCCAGTGGCAAGAGTAGCAGGAAGTTTTGCAGGATAGCGTGTGCACCTCTGTACACCAAAAGGCTGTGCCACCATTCAGAGGGCCCTCAAAAGCTTGT